TGTTCCAAGAGTTTACAACCCTCACTCCGAAAAAGGTTGCCCTCACGGTTTTCCGGACTTGCGGCTTCTTCAATCTTGAGCTGTGACCCCTTGTGGGGCGAGCGTCCGCCAGCTCCAAGTAAGGACACTCAACTGAGTAGTGCCCCCTGAGATGCTTATAAACCTCAACTAGGTCCCCCCTTGCCCGTCTGTAGTATAAGCTAGGCAAGTTCAGGCGCTCCAATCTCTCAGGGTAGCTGAGATGCCGAAGTGCAGGCACCGGTTTGGTGGCCCTCCTTTGAACATTTTCAACCAACTGACAGTCCCTAGCATATCTCGGGGACCAGATGGGGTGACAGTACTCCAGATGGGGAAGCACTTCACTCCTGAAGATCGTCACGAGGGACGGACCGTCTAGATATCTGAACGACCTTCTTATAAGACCCAATAATTTATTTGCCTGATTTACCTTCTTCTCACAATGGCCCGAGAACTTCAGCTCATTGTCAACATACACACCTAGGTCCTTCTCACACACAGTCTCAACTAGTACATTTTCTTCATCCCGTTGGGACATATGGTACGCCTCCTTACCGTTGGTACGCCCCAGGTGCGTCCTCTTACACTTCGTGACATTGAATCTCAGCAGCCATTCCTTCGACCATTCCTGGAGCCCACAGAGGTCCTTCTGCAGCTCTTCACAGTCCGCTTGGTTCTTAATTTCCCGAAATAACTTGGCGTCATCGGCAAACATTTGTATGGAGGAGTGTACAACGTCAGGCATATCATTTATGAAACAAACAAACAACAGCGGGCCCAATACACTACCCTGCGGTACCCCACTTGTTACAGGTACAGATGACGATTTAGTGCCATTAATCACCACACATTGCTTGCGGTCATGTAGAAAGTCTTCTATCCACGCTAGGACATTTCCCCGAATTCCGTACCCTTCCAGTTTGATTTTCAGCCTTTCGTGGGGTACACTGTCGAAAGCCTTGGCAAAATCTAGGTAAATATTGTCGATATTACCACCCCGTTCTAGAATATGGGTCCAATATCAATACAGCGAACGGTGTGTCAAAAAGCAAGAAGCACAACAAAACCTGTTGTAATCTTTTACAGTTTGTTTAGCGTAGATGTTCCATAAGCTGCATCTCTGATAATACTCTCAAGTACTTTACATATTATGCTGGTCAGGCTCACCGGTCTATAGTTGTTCGTGGAGTGCCTATCGCCCTTCTTGAAGATAGGACTCACATAAGCCACTTTTCATTCACTGGGGACCATTTGTTCATCCAGGCATTTACAAAACAGAATCTTCAGGGGCTCTGCAAGCTCGTTGCACAGCTCCCTTAGCACTCTAGGATGCACCATGTCAGGTCCAGGACTCTTATGGACCTTTAGCCTGGACAGTTTATTTCTAATACCCTCTTCTGTGAACACAATGTGGGTCAGTGCTGTATCGAACCGTCTGTCCTCAAACGCAGGAAGGTTAGTTGCATCCTCTCTTGTGAACACTGAGGAAAAGAAGCTGTTCAATGCCTCAGCTTTATCCTGGTCAGAATCTGCGTAACTACCATCTTCAAGCCTCAGGTCTGATACTCCTACTCGCGTTTTTCAAATTTTCGACTTTTGCATAAGCGGTAAAAAACATAACTGGGTTTGACTTGGGCCTCACATTTTAGCAACTGGAACTCCTTTTCAGCCCCCTACACTCTATACTGGCAGACACAATCTTGCCACATCCTCTGTCTTGCTCATCGTTTGATAACCCACGTCTTGAATTTCTGGGTTTTCTTCTTAATTTTGTCGACCGCTGCATGGTTCATGTGTAGGGATCCCCTCGTATTCCTAGAAGCACTGGGTTTGGTCTTGGGTATATATTTATCGATCAAATGGGTCACTTTACTAGTTATGATATTCAGCGTAGTGTCTGCGTTCTTGTACCTTAATAAGTCAGGCCAGTTGATACCTCTCATCTCTTCCCTCATCCCATTGTAATTTCCCTTGTAATATTTGCACCTTGGCCTGGCCTTATCTTGAACTAGGTAACAGTTAAATCTGAATGACAACACTGTATGGTGACTGGTGCCAACTGGGGCAAGGTGTTCCAGTTTGGCCACCATACCCTCCTCGTTTGTTATGATGAGGTCAAGTGGCTTGGGTGTTTGCTCCCCTCTGTAATGTGTCGGGTCTCTCACATGTTGGAACAGAAAATTATCTCTCAATTGTCGATTGAAGTAATAAGTATTTGGAGGTATTTAATGAGGTAATAAGTTCTTGAAGTGTTTGATGACTTAAGAAATAAATTGCAGTTCTGCTTTGTCTGAGTGAATCTAAGATGCATCTTATCCAATCACTGTGTTAATAAATATTGAATTAGTAATCTACGTCTACGAGTATCACCACTCTATCCTTTCCCACATTGGTTCTCAGAAAATAACTAACTCACGTGCCTAGAAGCTCGCTACCTAACAGTTAACTAAGAGATGTTATATTCTAGAAAATCCTGGGTGGTGGCAGGCTACCGTTGTAAGTATAATAAGTGTGGTAATAACAAAGACATGGTTTCCCAGGTTAATCCATGGTTTAGAATATAACTAGAACAAAATATATGGAAGAGATTATAATATATGAAAGGAAATGAAAAGAAAGAACATTGACTTGGAAAATATAAGCAGAGAAGCATACAAGCTACATATATAAGAATATAAGGTATATAGAGATAAAGAACATATAAGAATATAAGCAAGAATATATAAAAGTAAGTATGTATGTAAAGAATTGAAGAAGGATAAGTATATAAAACCGGATACTCATTGAAAAGAATAGCTGGATGGTAAATTATTGAAAAGAGAAAACTCGGCCCGTTACATCAGAAGAGAGAGATGCCAATAATCTACAGGTATTAAGAGGAGCTAAATGCCTAGTATATCTACTCTGAAAATATAATTGAGACAGTTACTATGGAACGTCGCTGGTATGAGATTTATCTTCACAGTGTCGGGAATCTTTGGATGTCTACTATGTCCAATACTGGATAATATTTGCTGTAGGATATCAGAATTATAGTAGCATGAACATATTATACATTTATATTTAATGCTCTTCATAATATCTGTTATAGGAGTTATACAAAGAACATGTAGCTTCTTAGCTTTGCAATATGTATAACAAATGCTCTTTCATAATGAATTCTATGCTTGTTGCATAGAACGGTGAGCCAAGAATCTACAGGAACACAGTAATTGTAATGTCACTTGATTACGTACTGTAATTGTACTCTGCTTATTGCATACTTATGTTATCATTTATAGGATATAGAAATCATTGAAACAATCCAGGTAGATGACACTATATACAATATATTACTGTAATAGGATTCTTCCCCTCCCAGCATCATCAACATTTACCCTCCTTGGCATTGACTAGATCAGGTTCATGAATACTTCTGGCCTCTGTCAGAATCTCTTCCACACTTCCCGTGATGTTTATTCAACTGCTTATCGGTTACTAACATCCGCTTTCCATTCCCTACTCACAATGACCCTAAGATTTTCAATAGGATTTATACCACATCCTTTTGTAGGCCACTCAAGCACCTCAATATCTGGGTGGGCATAAAACTAGACTTTGACAACATTGCTTGTGTGTATAGGGTATCTTTCCTAAACCAAAATGACTTTGTGGCGAAGGGAAGGTTAAGGTGTGAACAGTAGATAGCAGCACTCTCTCTAATATTCTAAGATACTGTGCACCTGTTAAGTTAGGATAGGTGTTTAACTGTACATGTTATGAATTACCAATATAGAATCAAAACCAGCTATTGAATATGCTTGCAATGTTTCAGCTTTTGATCATGACATCCATAAGAGGTTGTGGTAAGCTTCTGTTGACTGGACTACACCCCAGGTTATGTCTAGCAGCAACGGCTCTGCAGGCTCGAGGAGCAGCAGAAGCAACATCAGCAATGACACAGGTACAACCGCTCCCTGCCTCCCAAATCCCGGGCCCCAGACGGTGGCCTGTGTTAAGGTCCCTGCCAGCAATGTACCGTCACAGATGTTAGTGTCTACATTTTGTCATTGTTTTTATTTTTTGTGCCTCTGGGTGTGGTTCTATATTACAATGGTTTATTGGTCTGACAGTCTATTTTAACATAATTTAAATTAACCTAATCCAGCTCAGCCTAGTTTAATTTAACCAAACCTAACCTAACTTGACCTAACCAAACTTAACCTAGTATAATATAACTGACCCCACCCTAAGTTAACCTAATCCAACCCAAATTATTACACCTGAACTTACATAGCCCAACACAACATAACTTAGTATAATTTAACCCAACCTAGCCCAACCCAATTAAGTGTTATTCAACCAAACTTGGCTTCACTTAACATTATTTAACAATACCAACCATAACCTAGCTTACCCCATCAAAACACAGCCTAACCAACATTTCATATAATGCAACTTTGTCTAACCTAACCAACTTTAACCTAACAAGCTAAAATAATACAATCCAAGTTAACGTATCCTAAACTAAAACACATCTAAACTAACGCAAGCTCAATTCAATGCAAAGCAGCCCAACCTAACCAGACCTACTCCAGCCTAACCAAACCTGACCCTCGAACTCTTAAGAACTATAAACACAGATATATACAGCATTTCGATATATTTCTCTTAGAAACTAAACACGGAAACAACTTTTCAGTATTTGAAGCAGGTCATCACAACACGATTTGGGAAGCTTTGTGTGAGCAGTATGGCCCTATCTTCCGAGTGGACCTCCCTCGCCAGCCTCCCACGGTGTTCATCACTGACGCAGATGAGGTGTCACATCTCCTAAACCAGACTGCCAAAAACCCTGTAAAGCCGCCAACTGAAGCTTTACGCCTGCTCAGGAATTCTGACAAGAACAAGTTTGTACCTGAAGAGCTAGGGCTGTTAGTCCCGAGGTAAAGGCCGCAGTGCTCCTCCTCTCTCTCTCTCTCTCTCTCTCTCTCTCTCTCTCCTCTCTCTCTCTCTCTCTCTCTCTCTCTCTCTCTCTCTCTCTCTCTCTCTCTCTCTCTCTCCTCTCTCTCTCTCTCTCTCTCTCTCTCTCTCTCTCTCTCTCTCTCTCTCTCTCCTCTCTCTCTCTCTCTCTCTCTCTCTCTCTCTCTCTCTCACCTCTCTCTCTCTCTCTCTCTCTCTCTCCTCTCTCTCTCTCTCCTCTCTCTCTCTCTCTCTCTCTCTCTCTCTCTCTCTCTCTCTCTCTCTCTCTCTCTCTCTCTCTCTCTCTCTCTTTCTCTTCTCTCTCTCTCTCTCTCTCTCTCTCTCTCTCTCTCTCTCTCTCTCTCTCTCTCTCTCTCTCTCTCTCTCTCTCCCTACTCCTCTCTCTCTCTCTCTCTCCCTCTCTCTCTCTCTCTCTCTCTCTCTCTCTCTCTCTCTCTCTCTCTCTCTCTCTCTCTCTCTCTCTCTCCTCTCTCTCTCTCTCTCTCCCTCTCTCTCTCTCTCTCTCTCTCTCTCTCCCTCTCTCTCTCTCTCTCTCTCTCTCTCTCTCTCTCTCTCTCTCTCTCTCTCTCTCTCTCTCTCTCTCTCTCTCTCTCTCTCTCTCTCTCTCTCTCTCTCTCCTCTCTCTCTCTCTCTCTCTCTCCTCCTCTCTCTCTCTCTCTCTCTCTCTCTCTCTCTCTCCCTCTCTCTCTCTCTCTCTCTCTCTCTCTCTCTGTGGCCAGTATTGTAGTAACAATAAACTCTTGTAGAATCTCACATTAAGTTGATTTACGTAAAGAAGCTAACATTTCCATTTAGGTGAATTGACAATAATAATCAGTGAGACTGGGATCACCAAAAGATTAGACACCTAAGCTTAAGTCACCAGATGATTAAACACCCTAATGCCAATCTAACCCTCGAAGTCTAATCTTCAGCTGATCCGTAAACTGTGTCCTTTGCCTCAGAATATTTTAGTGTTGCCTCTGGCCAAAAATAGTCTGAAGATTTTGCTGTAATGGTTTTTATCAAGTTTCGAAAAGAACCATCCACTACACTAAAAGACAGATGAATGAATTTAATCTTTAAGCTAATCTTTCTTACCTAACCTAACAAGCCTGTCCATTTATTTTGTAATCTGTAATGAACAAAAGGAGAGACTGTACACTTGAGGTTGTGGCCTGTTTGGCGGTCACAGTTTATTTGAAGAAACTTGGAGTTTCAGACACGTTTTACAATAATTAAAGTTTCGAAAATGGATTTCTTCGATGTATGTTGCAATAACCCTTTCATTAATACCACCAACATCATGGAGGTCTAACCTCCCTCCTCCCCTCAAAACCCATCACTTATAGGTACAATTATATATACATAAGGGTCACTGATTCAATCCTGGGGCACTCCCAGTCCACCCAGCTGTAAATGGATACTTCACTTATTATGTGTTGTTCTCGTATCCTAACGGCAACCTATGTAGGGATGCACCGGAACTTAGTTCTGCCCGGAACCTCGATTTTTATTAAGTTTTGGAATTGTCGACGTGGGGTGACATTAACTTCATTTACTTCTTGATAATGACCAGCAACGGAGAACAATGGTGGAGGGTGAGACGACTCATCCAGCCTCACGTTATGAAGATGAATGTCCTCCACTACCATCTTCCCCAAATGGACCAGCTGGCCAAAAAATTTGTGGAGAGGTAAGAGTTATGGATGACAGCCAGGGGAGAGGCTACACATAATAGGATGGAGACTTGAAATGGAGAAACGAGGTATAATTTGAATAGTTGAAGGAGGGATAGTAAGTTAGGTGTAGGCATGTAGAGACGAAATTAGGAGATAAAGTGTAGTCTTTGTAGTTGAAATGGAAGGAAGGGGGGCGAGACTAAGGAATGCATCATTAAAATCATTAAAATAAAGGTAGGAAGTTGTGAGTAATGTGTGGATCGTAGGTTAGTTGAAATAGGTGATGTGTAATTCTCTTCAATACACTTAAAAGTATTATTCTCTCTCTTTAGGTTGTCAGGTCTACTGAATGAGAAGCATGAAGCCCCAGCTAATTTTCTTCAAGAGCTCAACAAATGCTTTTTGGAAGGTATGGAAAATCAGGTTAGCGTAACTCTTCTTCTGTTTATAGCTTCCCTAAATATATACCATATTCTACAAATATTTAAACCTCTTTCTCTCTCCTCATTTCATCAGGTACATCGTTGATATCATTTGATAAATGGATAGGATGCATGGAGGAGACGACAGAGGGCAAGGAGCTGATTGATGCATTTCAAACTGTCCTGCAGATTACAGTACATCACCAATTCAACGCCCTTTTGAGGATCTGGGATTGGTTTTCTACCCCAACCTACAAAAGGTTGAAAAAGGCCCATGAAGTAATCCAGCAGTGAGTATTTTTTTTCTCTTTACAGTGTTTGGTGCATCAGAAAAGGGGAGAGACAAGATGGAAGGCTCATAGAGTTATAAATTGTCACACTGTACCTTTTTGTTCATTCCATTTTCTATCATGTAACTTTTTTTCTTTAAGAGAAATTAATCAAAATTAAAATTTCTTTTAAATTCAAAGTTCTTAATTTGCTGAGTTGTTTCACAAGAGTGATGGTGATGTTTTTGATAGCAGAGTGGAAGTGGACCTTTGAACCAAAAGTATACAGGAAAAGTAAAGATAACAAAGAAATTTGAGGATTATTTTAGATGTGACTTATTACATGAAGTTTTGAGTTTCAATGACAAACAAAACTTAGTGATTGCAAGTTATTATTCAAACTACTGTAAACTTTAGAGAAAGATAACACTTGCAGGTGGTTATACATTCTGCATAATACTTCAAATGCAGCAACTGTATGTGCTTCTGAGAATTTGCTTACATGCACAGTGTTCATTTGTTTGTTTGTATGTCTATTCATCCATATATAGCAACAGTTTTGAAGCTAGAGCTCAAATTTATCATAGAGACGTGCATGCACCCCAGGAAAGTCCAGTGTGTGAAATTTTGATAGGATGACCAGGAGAGTGGGGAAAGTGTCAGGAGCACTCATACAAACTGTTAACACTCCCTGCTGACCTCCCAGATCAAAGAAAACCCCCACCTTCACCAGTATTTATGGAACATAAAAAAAAAACCCTCCTATCCAACCCAGTTATTTAAAAACCTTACAATAAATTAGAATGTTCATAATATAACCCATACACCATTATTAAACAGGTAAATAACAATAAAAATGCTAAAAATCAGAAACAAAATAGAAGTAACCATACAAGAAACCTAACATGGACTAGTTCAGTCAGACAAATTCACTTAATACCAGTTACTGTAAGTAGTGCTGCATGCATTCTTATACTGTATCTTCACTTATGAGGAATATTTATTGTGTAATCCTATGAGAATCACTACACTGCATCACTTGTCATAGCTCCCCAGAAGTGCTGTTAAGGTGGAATTTTCGGCTCTTGGCTGCAGTGGTTGCCCCTTCATAATAAAGGGAGGAACCCTCTTCACTAAAACACTTGTGTTTCTCAGCGCCTTTATTGCGCATGACCACACTTTTGAAATAAAAAACTGACATTTTTATGCATATTTAAATAACCCCAAGAAAACTCAGGAATGTCTAAATTAAGGGTAAGGGTGACCCCCACCTAAAAGTGGGCCCCTCTGTACACAACTACAGTTTTTGACCAATAAAGATGACAATTGGTAAAGTTATTCTTTGCATAGGTGCGGAATGAAATTATTTGAAACATTGTGTTACTATCAAATAACTTGACTGTTGAAACTTTCAGGCATATTAGGTTAGGTAAGGTTAGATTTTATTCATTGGGATCTCACAAAATATTCAATGAAACATTCATTTCATGAAATAACTGATTACACAGCCTGCTGATACGAACGAGGCTGAACTTAAATTTACAGTAATTTATTTACAGTACTTGACTTATATTTTTACTTTCATTTACTGTATTTTGTCATTATATTTCTTCTTTTTTTCTTAAATTAAGTGATTTTAGATGTATATAAGGACTTAGGCTAAGATATAGTAGGATTTTAAACATTGTTCTTTAAGTATGGTATGCACATAGCATGCGTTCCGACTTACTTACATTTCAGACTTAAGAACATCCTCAGGAACTGAACCCTTTCGTAACCCAGGGACACCCTGTGTGTGTGTGTGTACAGGGAGTCCTCGCTTAATGTCGGGGTTACGTTCCTAAAAATGCAAGGTTATGCGAAACAACGTTAAGCGGGTCAATTTTCCCCATAAGAAATAGATAAAATACAGGAGTAACGTTCCTGAGTCTCCCTTTACCCCATGAAATACATTGCATATACAGAAAATCATTGCCATTTCTATAAAAAATAGTGCATACATATACAGTACAGTACAGTACAACTACTAAGTTTGTATTGGTACTCACCGATGGGCGGAGGTGGTAGAGCGAGTGTGTGGTGGGTAGTGAAGCAGAGGAGGCGGATGGTGGGAAGGGAGGAATGTGGCGGGAGCAGAGGAGGAGGGTGGGAGCAAAGGAGGGCGGGAGAGGAGGAGGAGGGTGGGGAGGCACTTAGAGTCTGCGCCGAGCCGAGAGAGCGAAGCGGGGTCAGGCGGGAGAGGGTTCACGGTGCTTAACAAGCACGATGAACGGGCGTGGTAGTAGCGATCCCTGGTCACACGCAGAGGCCCAGAGTTCGATTCCCAACTAGTGAGGTATTGCTTGTGTATATATATATATATATGTACAGTATGTATGTATGTATGTGTGTCCTCAGGTTTGCTGAAGAGGCCATAAACAAGACCTTGACAACTATAGAGAGGGAGAACATCAGTAGTAACATGGAGGAGGTGAGTCTGCTGACCAAGTTGCTACTGACTCCTGGCCTCAAGAGGACTGATGTTTATGCCTTCCTCGTGGACTTCACCATTGCTGCTATTGACAATGTGAGTCTCCTGATGGTGCTGTTAACCATTGAACTCTCACAGGTGTTTG